CACACAAATCACCAGTTTCACGATGAAAGATTCCACATGCCAAGAACCTCAAAGTGATCAGAACTTGCAGTTGATTGGACACAGGCCTTCCTCTTTGAGACAGAGAGGAAAGTCTAGGCTCAAGCAAAGTAATTATCTCCAATGCATTTTCCTTGTGCATACGAAAGCGGTCTCGAAAAGTTATTTCATCAAACTGATTCAATGGATCACTCCTATCCAGCAGTATTCGTCTGGCTGGCCTTTGTCGTGCATGTTGGTCCTCATTTAGATATTCCAAATAGTCCATGCTCCCAAACAATCCAAGCTCAGTTTCACAAACAGTAGCCTAGCCTACTAAGCGGGAGTTAAACCTGCCTCCTTGGCAGATTAGTTTAAGCTTCAATTCAGTCCAATTTAGTCCTGGAGTAGCTCTAATGCTCAATTTTGCAATCGGCTTTGTTTAATCCAGAACAGGCTTAATCCACGAGTATTTTAAGCTACGTCTGTGCAAGTGAATTTCAGTTAAGCCAGCTCAAACAGCATTTTAGTCTGGGACTAGGCTTGAGCCTTGTCTCCGAAACCGGCCCGTAATGTTTCAAAGCCACTGAGACCTGTTGTGATTTTCTGGCCGGACATCTGTTTATATGGTCAACTTGGACACTAAGAACAGTTATTAGCAATGGCGAGAACTGGGGTCTGACAACGGAGAAGGTGGAATTAAAGTCTCAATATTCCCTTTGACGTACTAATATGTTGGGAGGGAAGCAGCGCCACATTTTGTTTATGTAAAAGGTTTCAGTTGAAAAGCTTAACGCAGAAAAGCCACCGCAGGCTATTTGCACAGCTTATTTTAGAAATGCAGTTTTGGTATTGTGTTGCTGCTCGGTATTTAGCTCACCAGTGGGTAGAATAATGCAACCAAAGCCCTCACTGTTCTCATGTGCTCCTGAGAAACGACCTTCAACTACTGCAATTACTTACATGGTTTCCTCTCCAATGAGGATCGGCAGCAGGATTGATTTATCTTCTTAAGATCCTCTCTGGAGTCAATACAAATCAAATGCAGTTGTGGAGAGGAAGAAAAAAATCAATTCATTTGTGGAAGCAATATTACTCCCTAAAAGAAATATGAATTCATTAAAATAGACTAGTAATGAAAATTGCCTCCCATGGACATGACAAATAATTGTGATGTTACTGAGAGTATTATGTGACAAAATAATGGAAATTAAAGCACCGTTTAGACATTCTTCACGACAGAAAAATTAACCCTTGTTCTTCATTTAGCCACATTTATTTTGAATTATTTTTCCTAACTATTGGGGAAAAATTAAGAATGTCCTTTCTATGTTACGGTTTTTAACCCTGCTGCAGAACAGAGGTCACTCCTCAGATAAAAACCAAATGGTTTCATCTTCTGTTCGGATTATCTCTCATTTGGCATTGATGCGTATGATTTATTCTTTACAGTAAAGAAAGGGAGCGCACCACTTTTTACAACAATGAGGCTGTGCCGTGTTTCCTTTATTGCAATTAACTTGCAGGTGAAGAGGAGCCTGTATGGCTGAATCTGTTATATTTGCATGATGGCTAATGCAGGTTAATTAAATGGATAATTATCCCTTCTTAAATAAAGCAAACATCAAACACATTTGGATGATGTGATGTGTTTTACTGAGCCTATACTATTCCTTTCTACAGTGAATATATACTTAATATTTGCCTTTTTAACTGTAATCGAATGGTGTCGTTTGTAGTGAAAACCAAAGCAGCTTGTTTTGGTTCTCTTTAACTTTTTTTGCTTCACTTCGCTTTTGGCCGCATCAAACTGCAATGAATAACTCTTAATGCAAATATTACTCCGTGTCTGCTTGGTGTGCAAATAGACAACTGTTATCAGACATGGACGAATGTAAAGAGAAATGGCAGCAACGGCAGGTTTAATGTTAATCTTAATCACTGTTCACTACTGACAAATACTGTGTCACCAATATTTCTCTATCGGAATAAAATTAGCAAATGAAGCCACTTCATCAAAAAATAGATATTATATCATAATGTGTGACCAGCGGGCTGCTCTAGAGCTCCACAGCGGGGATATTTTCCCCAATAAATTGTATCTGTTTTTATTCTGTGACTTTTGCATTAATAAATACAACATCTACACATGAAATGTTGTTTCCGTTCTTAAATCCAACAAAAACATTCATGGCTATTTATGCTTATTTTTTGACTACCTTCTCCTGTCATTTCAGTTCCTCCCCTCGTGTTCCTCCTGATTTCTTCACCTGCATGATCACCTTCCCCTATATATATATATATATATATATATATATATACAGCGAAAGCACAGGACTATATATATATATATATATAGTCCTGTGCTTTCGCTGTTAAAGCGCAGCACGATGACACGCGCAGCCCAACGGCCTTCTGAGAAGGGCTCTTTGCTCGTCCCTGGTGTCCAGTGTCTGTGTTGAAAACTGCTGACCACAGCAGACAAGAGCACTTTGAGTTGTAATTGTAACCTCTCTGCCAGGAAATGACAGTGCACAAAAAATATGCTGAATTGCAAATAAACAAGAAGATGATTGATTGTTTTCACTAATAAAGCAAAAATGCAGTTATAATTGCAGACGTTTGGAAAGTTGCAGCCTCCTGGATCTGTCCACTCTGGGGAAAGGTTCAAAAGTGAAGGATTGTGTGATACCACTCAATCTTTTGCCAAGAGTAACATATAAATCCCACTGGAAATTCTGGAAGAACTAATGTCCAGATTTGGAATCAAGCTTGAGAACAGACAGAAAGCCTTTTCCTCTTCATGCCTGGTAATCGTTACAGTTACTGGTACTGGGATATGTTGCTCTACTCACTATACACAATTGCTAAGGATCAAGTACAGTTTTATACGGCGGTGGTTTTGTACCATTTGGAACATATGTATGTGTAAATACTCCCCAGGTTCAATATGGTTCATAAAAAAAAAGACAAATGGAGCCCCTGATGTAAAAATGCTCTGTGTGTATGTGCGTAATAAATAAACAGTATCCTGGTTACAAAGTACCCTCTAGTGGATAGCATGAGTCTATTATTTAGGAGAAAAAGTTATATTAATATCCACTTCAGCTAGCGCTGTTTATCTCGTGCTGTTGTTTTCAAATAACTAACCTTTTCAACAGCGGAGCATGAGATGAAAATGCACAGTGGTGCCAATACCATTAACGAGAACTCTGCCACCTCAATTGAGACGGTGTTAGACGGGTCCTAATGACAAATGCCGAATGAATTTCAATTACAATGAAATCACGACTAGTGGGAAGACCATCCATCAGCGTCGACACGCCACCCACGTCCCCGTGCTGGTAACTCACATGGAATGAGACTTCACAGATCGTCGCTGTGATGTTAATATGAAGCAGAGGCGGAGGAGAGAGACCACACTTGGCCTGTGGTGGAGACGGAGCAGAAAACAGAGGCGTTGTGCTGTGTGGACAGCTGTTGTAGATTTGCTTTGATTCAGCAAACGGCAACATACTGAGCACAACAGGGGCACGGAGATGTTCGTCTTAGGAACGAAATGCATCTTTTTTTTATTCTTACCTGAACAATAATGAGATGAGATGGAAGTGGGATCAGATGCTCGCCTGTGGTATCCGTGGACACCCGTTGCAATGTGTAAATAAGAAACATAATGCATTTTGCAATATATTCTGTAGCTTTTGAGGACGTAGAAGACACATGACAGCTTGAGACACAGGCGAGAATACTCTTTGTTGCTGAGAGCAGAGTTCACTCATTCAAAACCTTTGGACCTCCGGCTGAGAGATTCCAGGTCCATCAAGGAGCAACAGAGGATGGAGGCCGTACGGGGAGTTAGATCAATGACCACCCGTCGCCACGTTGATGGCTAAAGAGCCGGAAGGTAGAGGAAATCAAATTAAGAACCACACTTTAAACATTATCGACACAAGGGATCTCACAGGCAGCTCACAGATGTTTTGTTCGGTCAAATCAAAACCAAACTGATTTTTTCACTGCTGGACACATTTTTCAACATAATGTCCTAAATTGGAAGCCTTTCCTGAGTACCAGTACACAAACACACTTCTGTGGGAAAGATCCTGGTTTAGAACAACATGAAAAGCTCATGACTCAGATTGAAAAACGTGCAGCTTTCCTCTTCGCGAGTTCAACGTCGTACCAACTAAACGCTGTGCGAAACCGAAATCTCATCTGAGACGGTGAGCATGAGATTGTTTAAAGCAAAGGGGGGGCAGTTCTGATGCAATATGTCCGGGAACACGCTTTAAGCGTCGATGTTTCAAAGAATGTGTGAACAAAATAACATTTTTACACTTTACATGCTTCATCTTTAACCTTCATTGTAACTTGTGGAACAATACACACAATATAAACTAATCTAGAGTTATTGGACACAGCGTTGTTGCTTACAGGTCTGGCCATGAGGAGGAATTACATCCTGGTGGGATGAAGAGAGAAACAACAACGTGGCCTTGGGTTTAAGGTGGTGAGCATGAACAGCAACATCTCATTTCTTGTCATCGCTCCACTGGTCACCCCCGAATAAACAATACAAAATAAGCCCACATGTTTGTTTTTTAAATCAAGTGAGATCCCTAAAATGAAAAAAAAAAGCCTGCATGAAAGCAGACACAGGAAATAAAAGCTGCAATGTCAATGAAAGGATTTAACTTGAATCTAACTCAAGATCAATATATTGGATTGTATGGTTGACATCGGCTGCTATGTGGACTATTTGTATTGTATCTTGCGGTGAAGATGGTTGGATTATTATTTGACCATTTGTAAAAAAAAATAACCAAACAGTTTTTTTTAATAAAAGACACAATTTAATTAATACAAGAGTTAAAAAAAAACATTTAAAAACAGCATAAAAACAACAGTGTTTAAAGATATACCTGAAAAAAGTGTCAATCATTTTTTAAATTATTACTGATATGTTTTTCCATTATTGTTATTTCAAGTCCATTTTTTTTTACTCAAAAGCATTTCCATTTACGAAAAAGGGACAATCGATCCAGATTTATGGTAAAACCCCTTAGAAAAATGAATTCATAGAACAAGAAGCTGATGAAGGAGATGAAGTCGATGGACAAACACACCCGTCCACTCAGTAGAACAAAGAGAAAGAGAACTGACCCGGATCGTTTTTCAGTGTCCGACATTAAATAATGACAAATATTGAATATATATGATTCAAACACATTTACAACATCTATACAAATGGTGGCAAGTGTGAGCAGGAGAAGGAAAGCAGTGGATATAAAAATGAGGGATGAACCGGCTTTCAATATTAACCCCAAGACATCCAGTGACCTGTATTGTAATCTATTGTATTCAGTGGATTTTACCTGAAAGGATTCACTGCTTCCCTCATGCGGCTCATCCTCGCCCTCTCCAGGACAAACACAGTGACACATTTGCACTTTTTACTGACAGTATTTTACCTCAAAGTAGACGTAAAGATTTTTTCTCGACTATGCATTGACATGTAAAAACGACGACGGTGTTTAATGTGAACTACAGACAGACTTTGTTGTGACTACACAGCGACAGGATGGGCGAGTGCTGGAGCTGCCACCGGGGCAGCCGGAGGAGAGGCTTTGCCTTTGTAGCCCAGCGACAGGATGTGTTTCTGCAGGTGTGTGATCCATCGCCCTTGAACCGACAGTGGTCCATGAAACACTTCCTCACAGAACCTGAACAGGAGGGGAAGTACCTTAAGTATCTTAACTGGGTTACATAAGGAACAATTTCTAGTAGGCTTTAATTAACAGCAGAGTACAGAGTACAGCTGGGCTGCATAGAAATAGTTACCGGTTATCATTTATCCCAAATAACAGATTGTTTTCTTTTTTAACAGACGGAATTAGTTAGTATTATTAGTTTTGTCTTGCTTCTCTTTTTTTCCCCACTTTTAAGTGTCTTTTGAGGTTGTTCATATCGTCCTATTTCACATTTTCTAATCATGGAACTTCTTGTTCTAACTTTTGTTTCTAACTCTTTATTTAAATTTACTGAGTGAAATATTTACGAAAGAAAATAATGTAGTTGTCTAAAAAGGCATGACTAGACATATTTGTCATCTTTTAAAACGTTTTGGGGTCTCCTCTATATTTTAAAATAAAGTTATTGTGGTTTAAGCAATATTGGGCAGCACGGCATGCATTTTGTAAAGAATGACCCACCAGGAGGCTGCCGCTTATCATGTGGTATTTCATGGTTTTTTTTTTTTCGGGTGGATTGTTCAATTCAAATGACTCTGTGAGGTACCTCGTGAAGATCTCCAGCTTTTTTTGTTGCTTTGTGTGCCTCTGTGTTGCTTTGTGTGGGGTGATCAAGACACCCCACACAAAGTCTGTGATCACATTGATCAAAGTCACATTGATCAAGTCTGTGAGCTTGGCGGTTTCCATTTAGGCAGGTACACAAGGTACATTAATAAGACTACAAACACCAGATTTCTTCTCACTGAACTACAGTCAAACGTCGTGAGTAAAAGTCTGCTGTCAGCCGGCCTGGTGAAGGCGGTTTGTGAGCAGCTCTCCACAGATGTTAACTGAAGAGTCGGAGCGGATTGGCGAGCAGTGAGGACGCTCACTTCTACCCATCCTGGTCATTCCCTGACTACCAGGGCAATGTGACTCTTTGTTTTGCACTGACCTGCACTTGAGGGAGTAGACTTTGCCCACCAGTTTGACCAGAGGTGTAAGTGGGGGCTTTGGCAGCATAGCGGGGATGCTGCCTGACCGCGTGGGCTGCTGGGAACTGCCGTCCTGATTTTCTTCTCTTGCTGGTACGCGTTTGGGAGGGTGGACCCCTGAAACCACAGAGGAAGGGAAAAAAAGTATTTTTTTATACTTTTATTTAATCAATTACAGTATAACTTTATGAGGCTATTTTGGTCTCTGACCCCTTGGGAAGCGCACGCCGGGGTCGCCGTGTGCTGCGAAAGTCTGTGCGTGGCTGTTTGAGTGTCTGGAGGGACCCGCATTCACGCCCGGGTTCTCGCTGGCCCCCGAAGGCTTCGAGCTGCCGCCGGCGACAGAGTCAGAGTCTGTGGACAAAGACGGCGAGGCGGCACCTCTCTGGGACTGAAGCAAAATGAAGGCATCATGAGAGGTGACGCAGCATTGCTCGTACGTATCCTGATGTGAACTGGAACCCTTCGAAGCGTATTTCGGAGCACAGCCCACCTTCTTGATGTACAGGTCTCCCATGCGATAGCGCTGGGTTATCGCTGCCACCTTGGCCGGGTCCCTGCGGATCAACTCACTGAGCAGCTCGATGGGCGAGCTCGCCCCGTCTGCCTTCCATTCGATGATCCCCAGCTGGCGGAGGTGCGCCCGGGCGTGGCTGGCCAGGGCCTTGCGGTTCTCAAAGTCGAAGCCACAAAGCTCGCAGGACGCGTCTGACGCAGAGAGGACGAGGGTCAGTATCTGGTGGTCTCACTGGTTCAGTGAGTTGCAAGATGTTATAATTGCGGATGCATTTTGATTTGTGCTACATTTGTGTTGAACCTTTTTATCTGATCGTGAAGCGTACATGTGTGTCGTCGGTTGAATCAGTGAAATAGTTTAAAAAGGGACGGCCGAGTCACGTGAAAATAAACAAATCTACATTTTTAAAGGACAAGCCTGGTTTTGCTATGTTTTCCTTAATGAATAAAACTAAACTATGCTTCTGTCTTGAATACCTTCCTAATCCACCTTCTCTGTTACGCTCAGATCATTTTTGTTCCTATTTACCATGTAAATCTGGCCACTGCAGTTTTAAACACCGCTTGCTAGTGAGTATTCAAGGCGTGTTTGAGTTATGAGCACGACCGAGACACGACCGAGTTTAGAGGATTGAATCTTAAATAAACAGAATACCGCAATGTGCCTCAGCATCTTATGACAACATGGTTGTAAAATGATTAAAATACAGTTTTTACAGTGTGGTGAATATACTACCGGTGTGCGAGGCCGCGCTCTTTCCGGATGAGGGTTTCTCCTTCATGGAATAATCCAGAGGTGCCGTGGAGGGGCTGGCGGACGGCTCTCCCGGCCGGAGGCTGTCGTGGGACCTTCTGGAACCTTGCTGGGTCCACGAGGCTTTGCCTGATGACCTGGTGGGCACGGACACTTCCTTGCCTTCATCACCGCGTATCATGACCTCTTTGAGGAGATCAATCGGGGACGTTCTGATCGACCAGGTAAGGCCGAGCTGGCGCAGATGGGCGCGGGCGTGGCATGACAGGGCTTTGCGGGTCTCAAACAGCTGGCCACAGAAATTGCAAAGGACTGTGGGCGGGGATTGTCCATCTGCAGAATCTGGCGGGAGGGGAAATAAAAAGGATGAATCCATACATTGGTGTACACATACAAACAAATGAATACTTTTTTTTTTTAAGAAGGTCTTTATCGCCAGTTTCTAAAATATGGCACCTCACAAATACCATTTGACAACTAGCAATTTAGATGAATGGCTTTTTGCTTCACCTGCATTCAGAGGCTTTGAAGCAGCGGGGGAGTTCTGCGTGGGAGAGTTGCTGGTAGCGGCGGATCCCTGGGGTTGAACAAACACTTCAACCTCCACAGGCTCGGGCTTAGGCTTCCTAAGGAGGGGGTCAACAGCCAGCCGGAAGCCTTTCTTAGCCTTTGGGGCCTTGTTGAAAGGAGACCGGGCGTACTTCGCGGGGCTTGAGGAGAGAGCCGTGGCTGCGGACGAGCTGGTTGCACTGTTCATTTTGGTAGGCTCTATGGCTTCCAGCATGCCACTGCTGACCAGTTCTTGGACGGCTTCAATTGCAGAGCTTTTCCCCAGCAGGTCAGCCACTCCAATCTGACGCAGGTGAGCGCGCGCGTGAATGGCCAGGCCTTTACGGTTCTCAAACTTCTCCCTGCACAGAATGCAGGTGAAGTCCTCTGCCGGTTTAGGCCGTTTGCTGGGTGCTGACGCGGCAGCAGAGGATCGATTGAAGGGCCGCTTAGAGGCGGATTTAGAGGCATTGTTGGAGGTGCCCGCTCGCTTCTGCTGCTCGTTGCCGATGGGCTTGAGGTCCTCCTCTTCCATGATTTGGTAAAGCAATTGAATCGGGCTGCCCTTGATGTCGCTGTCGGGGATTCCAATCTGGCGCAGATGTGCCCGCGCATGGCTGGACAGGCCTTTACGCGTCCCATACCAGCAGCCACAGAGCTGACACACATGGACCTCATTTTTGGTGTCCGACGCTGCAAGCATGAACAAAAAGGTGAGTGAAAGGAGCCTATTTGTGTTTACTTTCCAACAAAATACAGTAACATTACTAACTACCCGTAACAAAAAATAAGGTACCCGGGTGTTTCAGCTCTGTCTTGCTCACCCCCACTACTTTAACATCTAGAATTCAGTCCTACCTAAGGAGATGGGGGCGTCAGTTTCCAGTGGCGCCCACAGCGGTTTAGTTTTGGTTTGGCGCTGTGACAATGAGCTGCTGCCTTCACTTGTCCTCGACTCAACCGACCCAGGACCAGAGGGGTTGAGGGAGGCCGTTGACTCTTTCAGTCGGGCCGGAGATCCCTGATGATCCATCTTATCTGATGTTGTAACGACCGCACTCCCCGCTCTGCCGGAGACAATCCTCTCCTCTGGTGCTGAGGTTTTCCCGGACTCCTGCTGAGATGCTTTTTTGGCCGTGGTCGGCCGACACACAGACGAGGCTTTGAAATCACTGATGGAGTCACCCTTCTCCTGCATGAGCTGGTAGAGCAGTTCGATGGGAGCACCGCTGCTTTCTGACAACGTCACACCAAGCTGCCGTAGGTGGAGGCGGGCGTGGCTGGAGAGCCCTCGTCGTGTCTCAAAGATCGTTCCGCACACCTCACAAATGACTGGGGCTGCAGTTGCAGCTGTTGGGAAGTTCAGATGGGAGTTTGTCATCACAACTTAAACACTTGAGTCATCAGAGTCTCTAACAACAAGAACAAGCCTGAAGCTTGTTTTGTAATGAGTAGATTAAGCTGTTGCCACTTGAGACAGACTTGACAACCTTTACTTACGTCAAGACTCAAAAAAGAGAAACGTGTACACACACCAATAAGGCTGCTCCAATATATCTTTTGACTCTTCAAATAATTATTGAGCAATTCAATAAATGATCAAGCACCTTCTGGCTCTCGTAAAACAATGCATATGTTGTATTTCTTAGTAGCCCATTCATGACAGTGTCTCCTACCTTGTGAATCCATGGCTGCTGACATTGATGTGGGTTTCTTTTCAGGTTTGGAAGAGTCGACTGCAAATTGAGAGCACAAAAATGCAAGACAATTATACAAATTCTCACCTATTTTTCTATACATTCTTGTTAAATGTGTCAAAAGATACATAAATGATGTACTGTCTTTCTCAACCATACTCATACCAAATAAGTTATTTTTGGGGTAACATGTGGTCTCCAACGACAATACATTTTTTGATTATTTTTCAGCTCAAATAATAATTATTTTTAATGATAATACCATTTTTTCCTGTAAAATGCAGTATTAATGTTCAGCCTGACGTCATAGGTTCATGTGACAGCTCGTGTTACTGGTGGTAAGCTGGTACGCAGCACTCTGTTCAATGAAATGGGTGCAGTCCGCAGCAGCCTTGATCACCAGAGGGTGACTTTTTACTGCTTCATGACCGGAAGTCAGGTGACGGTGGAGATGTTGGATGTACAAAGAGTGAAGGTGCACAGCCTCTCCCTTGTTTGGGGATTTATAAAATGCATGGATTCATCCAGGGTCGATACAGGACTGTCCTCCTCCACATGGCTTTAGAGCTTGGGGTTCAGTGGTGTCCATGGATGCCTCTTACCGACTTTTAGTACGCAGATGTGAACTAAATATTGTGTATTGTGTATGTCCCAAACCGACCGACCTCATGACGTCACAGAAAAATGGAGATGAACCTGTTTGGACTTCAGGTTATGCAGTTCAATCGTTTATATATTTATATACAGTTTCACCGACAGAGTTTACCTTGATCTGTAATGCTTTTTAGAGTGGAAGTCCAACTTTAGCTCACTACAACGAGATACGATTCTAGTATCGCGACATATTTTTTTGCCAGTTAAAAAATTTGAATGCATTGCAACTTGAAATGTCATTCACTTTGAGAATCGTCTCTATTTATAATAGTCCGATTCGCATTACAACATCTAGTAGAGCATAACCACACAGGGCACCTATTAACTTTAATTATAAACATGTAACTGGCTGAACATATTTCATGTTAAAGCTAACTTAGGTTAACGTTGTCGCTGCTGCACCCTTTGTTTTGATCCGGAAGAATGCTAATGTTAGCTACATGCTAGCTCACATTAAACGTTCTTTTTAACGAAACAGTGACTAACTACAGATCCTGTGCATTTCAATGGAAACTAAACGACACTTGTCAAATGTAAATAGAGGTTAATTTACCTACAAGGTTGAACACATTAGCTCAGTAATGTTAGATATGTTTCAAGCATTGACCACAAGCTTAGAGGAAGCTGGGGTCCTTATATTTCCGGTGAGCAATGTTTTCAAAATAAATTAACTAAGGCGATGCTGCTGTAACTATTGTCCCTTCCAAGAGTCACATCCCACGACTAATGTTACTGAAGGGATTTCTGACCACTGAGGCTGTGTTTGTGTCAGGAGAGCTCACACTGTAAAAAAAATACCGAGGAAATATACAGTAATTAACTAGCAGTAAGTCTCAGGTAAGTTACTGTAAAACCAAAATAACTCAACGCATACACTTAAACTGAAGTAACAGTACATATACATACGAATACTTGTTGCAGAAAAGTGGTCATTGCGACTAGTTCTTAACAATAATTATTCTTGTTGATATATTTTATTGTTGCAGTTAAGTTGCAGCAAAACTTTTTTTATTGAAGTTCAGGTTGTTGAAGTATTGTGTTAAACTTAACATACATATAACAAAGATAATGTGCAGTTTGCTTTAATACAATAAAACGTGTTTTAAAGTTAAATGCGACTTAAATTTTTTGCCGTAAAAAGTATTCTGTCAACAGAATAAACTAAATGTACAGATGAGGACTGCCATGTAATATGGGCCAACGCTCTGAAACTGCTTCTAGATGGATTTGGGTGCAATACACATTTACAGAGAAAGTGTTCAGTTATGTTAAAGGTAACACACTTATCCCTGTTCGAAGTTATATATAAGTTAATGTGTGCCATTAATATCTTTCCCATCAAGTAACTTGGTTCACCTGCCATCAAGTTAACACAGAACTCACGCGCTAGTCTCCACCTTTACTTTGAAATAAACTATTTACTTCCGGGAAGCAAACTTCGCCCCGCCTCCTTTTTTTGCCCTCAATTGTCCCTTCCCTCTTCTGACTGCTCTCCCCCTGTCAGCAGCGGACCGCGACCACTCTGCAAAAGTTCTCCTCGGCTTCACAAAGCGACGGGTGAGTGTTAAATTGTGCGTCCGTTTGACCTGCCACACGTTCACGGTGCGTTCGGCTTGGCTCCGCCGGAGAAGAGGCCGCTTTTTCCTGGAAGAGTGAGAGAGAGCGAGCGGCAACAAAGGGGCCCTAACGTGAGATCAAGCTAATGTTAAGCTAGCCGGGCGGTCGCTCTCCTCCTTCTTAAGTATTTGGGCCTTTTTTCTTCCTTTTCTTTGTCCCAGTGCTGCAGCTGGAGGGGAGGAACAGGTTGATGGGCTCCATTTATTCCATGGAGAAAAAAAATTATATTTCAAAGACTTGACTTAAAACGCTGAACTTTGACCCAGCGGTGTCTGCTTCTGGGGTACTTAACGTTGTTATCTGTAAAATAAAAAAATGATTCTTAGCTTTTGACTAAATATTAACGGATTCTCTTTGTATGCACACAATGTTCATTGTACACTAAGTGTTTTTGGGTATTTAAAGGAATAACCACCGTGTGGCAGCGTCGAGGGCCTGGTCGGATCAATACTTTGTTAATCGTGTAAACGAGTTGATTTCCGGCATTTCTATTAAATTGTACGTAGTTTTTTTTACATTTTTTATTCCAATTAAACCATCGCGTAAAAAATTTCTACCAGACACAAACGTGTACCCTCAATGTTTTCCTTTTTAACGTATCATGGTTACGTAAGCCTCTTAAACTGCTATTGTTCCCCTGCGGACCCACCATGACTTGCATGTGACTTGACAGGGTTTTTCTATCCGAGCGAGCTTTTGAGTTGAGCACCATTTGTCTAAAGAGCCGTAAAACCTAGTTGTGCCTCTTTTTAAGCCTCAAGCTCAAGTTCTTTTCAACTTGTTCGGGATGTCAGAACTCCCCCAGCTGCTCTTATTTCGTGGCATCAATCATTTTGTGGTAACCGCATGTGCTGTGTCTCCTTCAGGCATTGCAACCATCACCATGTCCTCTGCGAATGCTAAGATCGGCCATCCCGCCCCAGACTTCAAAGCCACCGCCGTAGTTGATGGCCAGTTCAAGGACATCAAGCTTTCGGACTACAAAGGTAACTTGGTGTTATTTCACAAGGAATATTTAATGCCATGTCTAATAGGGGTCAATCAGAAGTCAATACACATGTCCTGTTCTCCTCAGGGAAGTATGTGATCTTCTTTTTCTACCCACTGGACTTCACCTTCGTGTGTCCCACTGAGATCGTGGCTTTCAGCGACCGCGTGGAGGAATTCCGTAGTATCGGCTGTGAGGTGATCGGCTGCTCTGTAGACTCTCACTTCAGTCACTTGGCATGGTGAGAGATTTGGTGGGCCTGTATTTTAGTTTTTATGGGGTCTTTTAGTTAGTTAGAATAAATAACTAAAAGCAAAAAAAAAGTCTGAGACTAAACACAAGCATTCCTTTTGAGGATTTAACTATTTCTGTCCATGACCTACTTTAAGATCCGTCTTCACTGGGATCTGTGTAGGAAAATATATAAGTTATTAAATGACTGAGATCAAGACATTGTAAGTTTGCAACTTCTTGGAGCTCCGCTTCGAGAAACAGTTTTTGGGAGATCTGAAGCAGCAGAGTTTATCTCCTGTCACTGTGCTGCTCTGCATGGTCTTGATAAGTCCTGAGGTAACGGCCTCTGCTCTGGCTCTCCATGCGAGCTGGATTCTGGCACGCTTAAAGAACAGTGCATCAGGAGTAAGAGTAATACTGTCTTGTCGGGTTGATTTTGTGTGTCCATAGAATTTGGAAATGCCATTTATATTATTATATTTATTCTCAACAGGATCAACACCCCGAGGAAGCAGGGAGGTCTGGGTAACATGAAAATCCCGCTTGTGGCAGACCTCACCAAAACCATCTCCAGGGACTACGGTGTGCTGAAGGAAGACGACGGCATCGCCTACAGGTCGGGGAAAAACTGTCTTTGTCGAATGCCAGTAGCCACTGCAGTGGTGGTGGTTAGCACGCCGCAATTTGAGCAAAGCAATGTACCACTGGGGACGGAGACGGCTGTGAAAACATATTGTAGCTGCCCTAAAAGAAAAACTGGAGCCACATTGTTCATCTATGACCAGCCGCCCCCGTGTCCAGCAAGGCAAAATTACTGTTATCAATGGATCCTGTGGGATTTGAGATGAGACTAGGTTATAGTATATGGTCCTGACTGCTATCAACTTGCTGTGGAGGACCACCTCACTCAAGTCCACTTCAAAAGAGAAGTGTGTCCCTTGAGGGAGAACCATAACATACACATCTAACTTGGCCGGTAGTTTATCTCAGGACACAAGTCACCAACGATCAAAAATGATGTGTTTGCTATACTTAAATCTTAATTTGTGCCTTTTCAGGGGTCTGTTTGTCATTGATGACAAGGGCATCTTGAGGCAGATCACAATCAATGACTTGCCCGTGGGTCGCTCTGTGGATGAGACTCTGCGCCTGGTCCAGGCCTTCAAGCACACGGACAAACATGGAGAGGGTGAGTGAAACCCCTGTTAATACTGCAGCTGGTTGTTTGGGCTTCAGGGATGTATGCAAATGCACAATGCTTGTTGTGTGGTTACGCTCTTTCTTCAAACTCTTATACAGCAAACAAAAACATGTATTTGTAACTAAATTATTTTAATGTTGAAGGCTTTTGCTTCTGCACTTATTTGGTTGAGACCTGTTTTTTTTGGATCCTCTAACCTTCATGGATTATTTTTTGAAGCTGTTGTCTGCTTGATCTCACGAGCATTTATTATTATTATTATAAACTTTCAATTGTATGCGTTAGGGATACTTTGTACAGTAAAGCTACCATGTAACATATTGAATGTGTATAAATGAGGTCGTTTGGAGATAGCCTTAGCTGAATGGTTTAGCCTCTGGGGTATTCACACATGTACTTTGTTCTCGGGGCATGTCATGTTCACTGTCCCTCCCACCTTGTGCTAAACTTTGTTCCTTTCCCCCCCACAGTTTGCCCTGCTGGCTGGAAACCTGGTAGCGATACGATCGTCCCCGACATTGAAAAGAGCAAAGTCTTTTTCTCCAAGCAGTAAATGCGGAGGTCTTCTGACTGACTTCCCAACTAGCACTTGCCTTCAGATGAGGTGTTCCTGTGAAGCAGTATATAATGGCGTCCAATCTAAAGACAAAATGTCTAAACCTTTTAGATAAATCTTTTGTTGCGAATCTTTGTACGTCCAGTGTATAATTGGTGGGGTGACCTTAGTCTCAAGCACTGAAACTATATTCTGTTCAATTTTCAGAAAAAAAGCATCTATTTTTCCTTGCTGTAATGGAATGGTTTGCTACCATCCTTATTAAAACAGTGGGTAAATTCTTTGTGTGTTGTTTTTTTCGTTTGACAAATGTAACTAGCAGAAGCTGTACATTATGAGTGAGTGTCGTTCCACTTGTGCCCTCCAGGCGGTGCCGTGGTGCTTACAGAATGTGGGAGAATTAATGCCAGCAAACACTGCCGATCAGTCGAGGGCTCCTCGCCTGAATACGTCACACATGATGTGTTGGTTAATGTTGGAGTTACGTTGGACTCCGCTCAACCATCTGTTATTGGCGAATGGGCCAATAGTTCATTGGGAAAGACTGGATTGTTGGATGCGGTTATAAAGACATTGCTGTCCCAGCTCCAGATGCATCCTGATGTTTGAGAACGTTTTCTTTTCTGACTGATCGTAACATTGCAAAATACCCCAAACCACCTGGCGTCTTTATTTTTAATGAAGTGGAAACATTTGGTTGTGTAATCAAATTTAAATCTAGTTTTCTGGGTGTCTTTTATAACATAGTATTTAGACTAGCTTTTTTTTTTTGTCTGGAACTTTTTCCCCCCCCAAGCTCATGTTCTCACGAATTGTTTTGAGAAATTGAATAATGGGGGGGGGGGGAAACTCCCTCAACCCAATACACGGCTCGTGGGCAAGCCGCTTCACTGACGCGCGTGCACGCACCTTGCGGTGCTCGGGGGGGAACTCGGCCTGTCTGACGGGTAATGTAGGAGGGAGTTCCCGGAAACCTTTTCATTGTGTGACGTTTGACAGCATAGCGGACCATATATGGAACGACGCGTACGTACGTCAAACGGGAAACGGTCCCACGCTGGGACGCCTCCAACGTCAAGCGAAACTCTGCTGCTGACAACACTGACAGCATCGGTCGTGTCACGAGAATTACCGGAATTACGTAAGACCGTTGTAAACAAACCCAAGAAAGTACACGCCTCCTTGTTTCCGAATTTCATTTTACTTTAATATATACTGTGCCGGTAAAAAAAAAAAAAAACAGGCCTCTCCCTGATGAACAAAAATATCTTACTTAACAATGTTCTGTCGATGTGAATTAAGCTCATATGTAAACCGTGTAAGCCAAAGACGACACTTAGAGAAACTATTCAAAAATGCGTTAAGTGTTTTAGTCTCGTGTGATCTCTGCTGCGCCTTCCAGCCATGGAGACACGTCGGTCCCGTTCTCTCGTAAAGGACTTATAAAGTTCATGTTCATTGGGCGGTCAGTGCAGTTCATGTCCAGTGTTTGTGTTTTCTTGTTCTAAAGTGCATTCCTTTCCTCAGTAAGACTTCACTTTGGGCCCCAACATGAGCTGGCAGCCACTGCTCACGTGCGTCATGACCTTCTGCTTGAGCTGGGCCACCTGATCCCGCAGCACGGACGCCGTGTTCGACAGCCCGGCGTTGTCCGTCTTCAGCACCTTCACCTTGTCCTCCAGGCGAGAGATGCGCTCCAGCTTGCGCCTGCGACACTTCGAAGCCGCGAGCCGGTTCCTCAGCCGCTTGCGCTCCGCTTTCATGCGGTCCTGGTTCTCCAGGTCGATGGGGGACATCGGCGGAGACCCGTCGCTGCTGAGCATGTCCGGAACCGTCTGAGGCTCCTCTTTCAACCCGCCGAACCGCTGCGAGTGGACGCCCGCGCCGGCCAGGGAGTGCTGGAAATGGTGCGACCCGTGCGGAACGGCCGCCGGCGGCGGGTGGTGGTGGTGGTGGTGGTGCGCGAGGTGAGGGTGAGGATGGTACTGGTGGTGCGGCAGGTAGCTGATGGTGGTGGAGGGATAGCTGGCCGCGGACGACAGACCGGGGTTGGCGCCGCAGCTGTTTAGGGTGGTGTACTCCAGCGCGTCCTGCTGCATCGACGCGCACGACACCCCGCCGCCGATGGACACGTTCGGGGGAGCCATCTGGTTCATTTTGTGCAGATCGTCCAGCGCTTTGACGAAACCGTCGGCGAAGCCTTCCTGTTCCTCTGTGATGCCGCGGTTGTAGAGGAACTGGCCGGGCGTCGGCGTGGTGGTGATGACCCCGTTGCTGTTCTGGATGATCAGTCGCTCCAGTTCCGGGGAGGCGAGCTTCAGCGAGCCCACGTCCACCGACCCGGCCGAATAGAAATCGCTATCGGCGCGCAGGTGCTGTGGCTTGAAGTTCGAGCTCCGGTAAGAATCGGAGAAGTTCAAGTTCATACTCTGCTTATGCAGCTTGTAGTCTGGCAGGGCTGCGCCTGGATGGCCGTAAGCAGAGAGAAACGAGTCGTCATAAAAAGGCTGTTCCATTATTGTGGACATATTTCAAAATACAAGTCAAATACAAGAGTGCGCTGCAAAAGATGCTGCGTGGACACCGAGGCTTCAGTGTCCCGAACTGATTCAATCTCCGGCACCAGTCCCGCCGAATTATTATACTGAAGACCACAGCTATCAGAAACAGAGCAAAACTTCCAAAAAAGTGGAACTGTACTGTACCAAGTCGTCGATTTGTGCCTTTAGTTGAATTCAAAGCGGAGTCCAGTGACTAACTCGGGTGTTTTGATTCCACGCGTATGAAGCAGAATGTCTTTGGGGTTTTTTTTGTTTCGTTTTCTGCTCTCAAACCGAGCGCGTCCTGCGTTTCCTCTGTAGTGACAAGCGGCCGGTCGCGCGCTCGCTGTTCTTATATCACCGGCTCCTCGTGCGCTCCAGCCAGCCCGCTGATTGGCTGTCTCCCTCTCTCTCTCTCTCTCTGTGGTCCCCGCCTCCGGGAAGTCGGACACGCTTGCTGACGTCGTTGCCGGGATCACGGACCGCACACAGAAGAGGCCTGTCCGGCGTGCGGTGCGCGCCTCAACCCGGGTGAACGTGGGCAAAAAAAATATGCAAGTGCACATCCACACTCCTTATTGTTTATGAACTGGTGAAGTTTGAATGTGTCGCCCAGCTCAAAGACATCCAGAAAAAAACAACACTAAGTAGCCTTTTCCAAATGGAGGTCTATCGGGGTCTAAAACACTCTCAACAACCGCTTTGCCTCTTACTCTAATCAACAGACCCCAGCGGTGAGGATATATAGTCCTGTGCTGAGTCACGCCATCCAGACTGATATCGGACAGTCCATATATGGGTGTCCTGGCGCACCAGTTCCTCCCCGACAGGAGCGGGAAGCCAATCCCATGTTGGAGCGCTTCCAGCGCTCGGGGATGTGGGAGGCGGAGGAGGCGCGCTTGCTTTGCGCGTCGGCCTCCACCCCCGCAGGCAGGGAGAGGACGGCTAGGTGGCGTGAACTTTTGGGCGTGATGTCTTAAAAAAAAGAAATGCACGAAGGATAATGTCTGCCAGGAAAATGAGGACATGTGTTCGAATTCTAACTGTATTTAAATGTAGAAAATACTACTCAGTACATTGGATGATCAGAAAACGAGTTCAGCATTGCTCACAAAAAAATGCACATCTAATTAATATTGTAGAAATACGATAGTGGATTCCAAAGCAGTATTATTTGGAGCTGACACGAGTCATGTGTGTATTTTTCCTTCTCTACTTCACTGTTTTTATTAGAACCGAATATGAATCAAGGCAGCGTAAACAAATGACGCAGGCGTAAAGGTGCGCTATGTTTGTGTAAAGGCATGTCCCCTGGACTGAACACCTGTTTGATAGAGAGACGTCTTTGTCTTGTCTATATGATAATGACCTCTGAATCACTTCCCGCAGGGCTGCGCGCCCACGCACGTTCATTTCTTCTCGTTCTACTCGCCAGCTATCCTCAGGTCACATGTGTGTTTGTGTGTATTCTCATCATGGCACCACCATATACACATTCTTTAATCTAGCACCTTTTCTACACGTTTATTAATATTGTAGCGATATTAATTTGAGATAAGATGAGGTCATTCTTAGGCTCTAAATGAAATGAATGGTAAAGTATTGTCACTAGCTTTAACCGTTAAATATATAAAACGGAACACTTTAAAGATAATGGGAGAAATGCCAAATTGAAATAGGAAAAACAGTCTAATCTAAACTATACTTTTAATTGTTTGTCTCACGGGCCGCTTTAACCCATGACGAGAGAGATGACAGCAAAGTTATGTGGTGGTAAATGAGGTAATTCCTCAGTTTTGGACTCAGTGTTGGGATTTTAGTGGGTTTAAGTGACTTAAAAAGGGAGGATCAAAAACATTGAAATATGTACTTTTTGTACAAGGTCCTACGTTTCTCATAACATCATCTCTCTTTAGACGCCCTACGCCTTCCAAAATTAACTGTCCCAACTCAACTATTTGTGGGCAGCATGAGCGGTGCTTAATCGCGTGGATACCTGGCCTAACAGTTTGGTTTGATACTAAATACGAGGCTAAACTATTTTTTTGTTGAATTGTGTTTCAGTTTTGTAAGACCAGGTTTTCTGTAACATAGACGCCATTAAGCCCTTTTTTAAAGAATATCTGGCGGCTCCCGAGCACTCCCTCGATTTGGGGGAGTCAAGCGGTTTGGCCAGCTGTTACGTGAAGGTCAGTTTGGGCCGAGCTCCTCCCACTGAAGCGGTGGCCTGATGTGCCGGTGTCAGGGAGGAGAAACAGAAGTAGTTTCAAGGAAACAGAAGTATCACTCAGCGGTCAGTCCCAGAAACGGATGAGGTCACTCATCCATTTCACGAAAGGTTACTATAATCACAAGAATATGACCTCTTACAGCCTGTGGTCGGTTAAACGTTTGCAATCGCTAAGATCAGAAACAGAAGGAAGATTCTTTGAAATATTTCAACGCGTTGTCCGCCAGCTTTTTTGTTTTTGTCTGAATGTGTGACTCGAACCTGAAGTCAGTTTGAGGGAGGGCGATGTGTTGTTATCTACGTGGGACTTTCCCACTAGAGACCCTTAATTGGCTCTGAGACTGTGAAAATGTCTTGCTCGCATGCACATCGTTTCATGCGGCTACGCGCTGGAATTCACAAGCGCTCAGCTCAAACACCTCATACATGCAATTCTGTCACTATATTTGAGCGCCGGGGGGATTCAGGTCGACAGCAGGGCAATAAAGAACAAAAGCAGCAGCAGAGATACGAGAAACATGAAAGCCACAGCGAAGCTTGTAGGTGCAATTACCTATGGTGGTACAGACCTATGGCCGAGCAATATAAAGACCACTATCTGTGTCATTGATTGTTAGCAGACCACATGATGGCTGCTGGCTGTGCCCAGGAGAGAGAGAAGTGAACTGTGGGAGGCACGAGTCGTAATAAAATACATGATAGGGAATAGTTGAATATGTCACATTGTACCATCCAAGTGTGTCATGTATCAGAAAGTCCAAATGTCAACAACACATTTGGTCTCTTTCAGCTATGAATCACACTTCCCAAATATATATTTTTTACTGAGAATTCAATGATCTGGAACCAGCCAGGTCGAGTGACCGAGCTGGTTTAATTACACATGAGGTGAATCGCAAAATCATTGGGGAATGTCCGGTTGGTTTTACAAAGAAAGGCAAAGAAAAGGCTAGTTTAATCATGTCATGTCAAAACAGTGATTTGGATATACAACATTAGGATTGTAAGTAATTGCGCAAACAATTGATTGATCTTGATCTTGTCCTTCACTCACTTCAAAAACACTTTTGTCAGAGAAGGACACAACAGAGGAACACCCGAAAGCCGCTGATGTTCATTTGGCCTTCATCGCAACTTTAACTCCCTCCTCTCCTCATCGCCTCCCACCGAAACCTCCGCAGCTTGTTCAGGCTCTAAAACATCGGCCGGCTTTATTAAATGAACCAGAAGTAACTTTGCTCCCCGCGTCTTTGGCAAGGTCTTCCGCGCTGGAAGCTCGGTGACCTGGAAGCGGCCTGTAGGTGTGGTGAGTCAGGTAGGGCTGCTCGTCGGGGCAAAAGAGCTGGCTGTCCCCGCGAGGAGAGGACAGCTCACACAGCAGCGTATTAAGTCAGAAGTCCTTTAAAGAGTTTGTGGGTCACTTAATTTAACGCTAATAAGCAGCCGTAGTCAATCCACCCCCAAACTCCCAACAACCCCCTCCTCCCCTCCTCGATGAACCGAACCCCAAACCGCTCACCAAAAGCCCTTTTCTTCTTCCCCCTCATCGTTATCTGGCTGCCTGTGGGAAATTGAGCCCCCTTGTGCATGTAATCGCTTTAATGAAGGCATGTTTAATCAGCATATTCTTCGTCTGTAGCTCCCAGATAGTGCCAAGGAGCCTCGTAGCGACGAGAGACCTTTAGCACAAGACAGGATGATTGCTGGGGCCAAATGAGTGTGGCAGGAAAAGACAGTCGGACCCAGCTGTCCCCCCCGGCTGACGTAACGCATATGGAGCTGTCCTTCCCACTTCCCCTTCATCTACACGGATGCTTAAACTCCCTGTCACTCTGCCAGTCCGTAAAAACGGAGTGGGGGGTTTAATTAGGTCTAATCTGATTCTACATGCCCGTTTGGTTTTTAATTGAGCTGTCTTTTTGTTTGGAAAAAATATTTAAAAAAGAAATTTGGGGGGAGTGAAACTGTGAGCATGTAGCAATGCTAACCACGAGGTTAGTTATTATTCTGATATATTTCAGTCTTTTGGGGCATCCTTTGTTTGGTTGGACAATAAGGAACAAGGCTTGGAGTTTTTTCAGGAATGCTAGCAAACAAATGCTGGTGTCACATGAGAGTAAGAGTTGAGTGATGAAAGGCCAAACATTCCCTTTTCTAACCCAAACCCAAACAAGAAGCATCACATGTTTACTGTGACTGTGTAGCTACGAAAGCACATATACTGTAAGTGACTAAAAGGTTGCTCACAGCGCTGAGACACAGTCGAATGTATTCCAACTGCAGAACGACACTCATGTAAAACAGAACTTGCCTTATTAGGCAGCCGATCGGCACCTGGACATTAGTGTATTAGCTGTAGCATTTTATGCTACAATGAGCTTTATAAAGAGGGGAATTGATTTGTTCTAAACGGTTGGATCTATGGAGGGGAGGTGGGATGTATTGAAGACGATTGATTCCTCGGTCTGTCCTCTGCTGATACTTCCTCTTTGTGACAAAATAGGAGAAGTGAATGTACGGTGGCAGGAGGCCAGGGTGTGAAGGATTTGGGTAAGCCGCATTTTCATTTCCTTTATCGGGTGCAGTAACGGGCAGCTGTGGTGTCGTTGGTGCAACAGTGGGCTTGAAAAGGTTCAAGTCAGGAATCACACACAAGTATTAGTGGATCTATATGATGTTGGTTCTGATTTTTAAATCCTGCCACCATAACAAGTCACATATTACTCATGGCGGTTCCTGTCAAGGCGACAGTGTTTATGCCAAACCAACCATCTCCCTAAGTCATATTTAACACAGAATGTGAAAATTTGTAATGTTGGACATTTACACATCTTCTTAAAAAAATTTCCAAAGCCTTTTTATTTAAGTTTGGAGTCCACATAGGGTGAATAGCGTAGCATCATGTGCACCTCGTTCACATGCATTTTGTTGCAAATCACTCATATGTTTACAGTGTTTTGTTTCTCAAAATGAGGCTTTGTTGAAAAAGGACATATCGTTGTGTAAGAGGTTTTTAGCATAACACACACAAATCTCTGGCCAAACAGACTGTTTCTGTGTTCATAGTATGAGTACAAAACACTGTCGTTGGATGCCACACATCAGAGGGTCCGGGAAGTGGTGTCACAGCTCGCCGGGGAGAAATGGCGCTCTGGAGACAGATGACTGGCTAGTTGGCTAACATTAGGTAGCTTATCCTCCACCGCAGCATTGGGGAGTGAGGCAGATGGACTGTTACACCCAGTGCTGCCACTGGCCAGCAGCCCGCTGTTCAACTCATTTTCTGTACCCAGAGAAGCATTAGGGAATAGTGGAAATAGCAAGTAAACAACTTCCTAACGCTGGCATGTAGGTAACCGTTAGCATAACTCATTTATATTGTTAATAAAGTACTTGTTGTCTGCATGACTCAGCACTGTAACAAGTACGTACCTGAGTAGTGGAGACGGAAACGCCGCGGTTGTCCTTTCCTAACTCCTCACGAGTGG